GCCGTGGAAAATAATAATTTCTCATCAGGGAATTGTTTCTCCATTTTATTCCTTAGTTCTTTCACAATTTCTAGCCTAGAAAAATGGGCAACTAATTGGGGTTGAGTAAATTCAATGAAATCCTCAGGTTCAGATTTCGTACCTGGTCTAGCTATAAGTAAGCTAGATTGACCCGTCTCCTTTGAAATATCCTTATGCTCATCTTTGTCTTCTTCATCAAGCTTCAAGTAATCACCAGTGCATGCAAAATTGTCGTGGCATGATTCTGCAGATTCCCTTTAGTCATCAACTCTTGCTAGTGGGGGTTTTTCCTTTGCCGTGGCATTATTTTGCCTGCCATCATTGGGTTTACTCATTGAACCTTCAACTTTGTTCTCCAGTTAATGTAAGTCCTCTTGCAATTGAGACTCTTCATGCACAATCTCATAGCTAGGTTCTTCGAGTGTTTCCCCCCCAAACTTAGCATCTTTGTAGATCTGGGTGCCACTTCCTGAGGTGAATGTACTAAATTGCTCACTGCCTTTAGCCTTAATGACTTCAGTATCACTAGGCAATCTGTCTAGTTGGTATTCTTGTAATGCCGTGGCAATTTGATCCACTTGCATTTCCAAAGCTCTCAAAGACAAATTATGACTTTGCAACCATGCCCCTTGACTTTGTAATAATTCTTCTTGACTCTTAATAGATGCATCGTGATCTTGTAATAGAGCCTTTGTAGTTTCCATAAAGTCTTGCATAGTGGCCTCTAGAGAACTTGTATTAAGTGAAAATGTTGTCCCCTTATTATGCCATGGCATATTCATTTGAAAGGCTGGGGGCTCATCCATATACTGCTATTGAGCGAGATGACTGACATTACGAGCTCTTTGATTTTCCCATGAGAAATTGGGATGATGACTCCATCCTTGGTTTTAGGTGTTGGAGTAAGGGTTGTTATTGCATCCATTGAAGCTTCCCGCATAGTTAATGGACTTTTGATTGTTTGGGCATTCACATTCATGGTGATTGCCACGGCATAACAGACATGCCGAGCTATCAACCTTCACTTCTTTCACCTCATTAGAATTTTGCAAATTCTTCAACATATTGGTGATGGTGGAGAGTTGGGCCGACACTGAATCTTCAGCTTCCAACTTGAATGTCCCAGATGCCTTCATTTTAGTTTCAAACCTTGAAGATGGAAATTGGTAATCATGGTTAGCAATTCGATCAAGAATGCCAAAAGCCTCTTCAGGTGATTTGTCAAGTAAAGTGTCATTTGTCCATGCATCTAGCATCATCCTCGTGGGTGCATTGGCTCCACTGTAGAACATCACGACTTGAGTCCAGTCGTGGAATCCATGGTTGGTACATTTGCGAAGCAATTCTTTGTAGCGGTCCCAACACTCATGCATTGACTCGTCATCATCTTGGTGAAAAGATGCTATGTCATTCCTAAGATGGTTGTTCATATTCGGTGGATTATGCCGTAGCAAAAAAATTTTGCACAATTCATCCCAAGACCTTATAGAGCCGGAAGGTAATCCATTGAGCCATGCCCTGGCATCATCTTTCAAAGAATATGGAAATAACTTCAGTTTCAGCACATCTTCATGCACACCTTCTTGTCGAAAGGAGTCATAGACCTCAAAACATTCTTGAACATATTGCCTTGCTTCTTCATGAGGAGCACCACCAAACTTTCCAATCAAGTCCAACATGTCGAACATAACCGGTTTGAGCTCGAATTGGGTTGCCTGAATCTTGGGAGCTATAATAGCAGGTTTTAGGTCATTCAAGGCAGGAGCTAAGTAATCTTTAATAGTTTGTGGTCGAGCAGCATTCCTAGCATTTGGAATTGTCGTGGCATTTAGAACTGCAAGATCCTTCACTTGATTTTGAACAACATGAGCCTCAGGTTCTATATGAAATAATGGTTCTTTGGGTCTTTTACTTGTCATGTGACAATGTAACACCTAAAAAAGGTAAACACAAAAACAAGTAACTATGTACAAAGAAAATAAATAAAACGGTGCAACAACTAAACTCAACATCATCAATTGCCAATCCCCGGCAACGGCGCCAAAACCTTGTTCGCGTATTGTGAGTACTATAAAATTATATGCAAATAATGTGCAAGTATACACAATCACTCAAGTAATAAAGTGATGAGTGAGTATCGTCTCCACATGGATTGGAAGGATATTGAGTAAAGTTTATGCACTATTTTAAAGTAATTAAGTATAGATAATGGTATTCACAAATGATTATGTTGAAGCAAATGAAATGTGTATGAGTAACAAAAGGAAATGTCATGGCAAAGGAAAATGGTAAAAAACAGTAAATAAATAGAAAATAAAATAAAAATAAGATAATCCTCACGTGACAAGCTTTCATTGGAATGAATGGTAGGGATTGATCTAAGGATGCTAAACTTATTTCTCAAGTATATTTAAGTTTTCTGGACTTCACTTACTCGACAGGGCTTTCCTAAAATGTTCTCACAGGAACCTAACAGAATAGGATGCCAAGGCATCTGCTCTCACTCAACGATGTTGGATAGCCTAACCTATTGATGAAGACACCCTTTTTAGTCGTTGAAATCCTATCCTAGTCTCTTTCGAGATCTAAGGGATTAGGTTATAATATTCATAGGCCGGTTCAAAGCCCCTTGAAAATACCATAACCCATTGCTTATGAGGATCTTATCTTGCGTTTCTTCCGAATACTTACAAGTATTTTTAGCTTAGGATTCTTCCGAACACCTAACCTTCATCTAAGAAATGGACATTTCCATGCCTCTTACAAGCCTAGATAGTGAAACATTCACAAGCAAAGCAAATAAAGAACCAAAATAAACTTAAATATACCATTAAAAATAAAGTTTAAACATCCATTAAACCAACCACCACCAAATAAGTTAGTTCATGGTAGGGTTCGAAATATTCATAGAAAAATCCATAAAATATTCGTTCCAATAACCCACAAATAAAATAAATAAAAATAACAGCAAAGGGAAGTGAGAAAGAGCCTTCGACGCACGCCACCGGAGGTCTCCTCGGCCACCACGAACCGCCTTAGCTTGCTAGCTCCTCTCGGCGCCTAGCTCGCCACTCTTTGAAGCTTTATCAATGGAGGAAAACCCAAGGAAGAAGAAAGGAAAAGGGAAAATAAAAATGTGATTTTTATGCTACAATATGCGTCTCCTTTCTTCCACACACTCTCTCTCTTGTGAGGTGTAATATATAATAAAAATATCTAGGGGTAATGATGATGTTGTTGGGATATTGTTGGGTGCAAAATACCCCTCATACCCCTAGAATCACATGTTGTGCATGAACCTTATCCTCCAGGTGTCAGTGGTCCCCTAGCAAGTTGTTACAGCCATCATTTCACGTGCAGAGCCAGCTGTCCACGTACAGCTGTATATTTTTGTCGTTTTCTGCGCCAGAAATGCCGAGGCATTTCAATCTGCTTCAGCAACGTGTGATGCCACGGCATTACTTCCCAGCTCGCCTATTTTGCTTGTTGTTTCCTGCACATCACTAAAAACCACACCTTCCTCCTCATATAGCATCTTAATAAAATAAAATAACACAACCACCACAAATGCAATTACATGCAGCTACATACATCTAAAATGACTTATATGTACCCTTAAACAAACAATAACTTAAGTCAAAAAGGCCTTAAAAGTAGTCTTTTTACGGAGTTATCATGTTAGTGACAGAAAACTCTGACTGCGAGATATTCCCTCAAGAATCTGTCATTATGTATAATACATAACTTTTCAAATTGAAGTTAAATATATTTTCAAATTGAAGGGAGATTTGTGCTCAAGTTGTAGGTGTGAGATGATATATATCTACTACCATATTTGAAAGTGATGAAGGCAGGCACATGAAGATTAAAAAGGTCATCTTCCTTAAAAGAAAAGAAGAAAGAAAAGGAAAGAACATCCACGCTCCTTGTCTGCCAATAGATGCATAATTGTACTTCTTAAAAACAAACAACAATTGTAAGCACAAGCAGAAAAAGAACAATATTTGGTGTCTGATCCCTTTGGCTTTATCTCTCTATCAAAGAGCTTGTTTCATTGGCTTATTGTCTTTGGAATTTGAAATTGTAGCTACCTGAAATTTCTAGCCGATGCAACATTCTTGTATTCTGTAATGACAACTCTTTGAACACAAGAATGGATCCAGAGAATTGATAAGAACGATCGTTTATTTGAAGTTTGAACACAAATTTGGTTTGGTAGAGGACCGCAATGCTATATATTTGCTATTTTATATAATTAAATATTACATGAAAATAAATTTAATAATATTTACATGAATTAAAATAATTTATCGACTAATCTTATACTCTAATAATCTTATGAATGTATTAAAGTAAACTATTATGATTAAAAAATATAGATCAAACCATATAAAAAATAAAAACACATCTGATGATAAATATCTTTATCAAACAAACTAAAAGTATTACAAATATCACTGCATTTTAGTTTTATTTTATGGATTTTACTATTGAATTTTAGATTAATAATATGTAAACTACCCAAATTTTATCTTAACTATAAATTAGATGATAATAAATGCTTGAAACTACGGTTTTTTTCACGTTGTAATAATAGTTATATTAATGAAGTTAACTTAAGCTAATGCTTCGTTTTCTGTTGATATTTATGAGAGATTTTAGGTTATAAATTAGACACCTGTGAGTAGTATGGTTTAGTGCAGAAAGGGAAGGCCAACCTCACCATCATTTTCTGATTTCTTCATAATACAAAGATATGTCCAAATAGTCCAAACACAAAATCCAAACTATATATTCGTTTTTAAGTGTCTGTCCTTCTTCATTGTAATAAACCTAACAGTTCTTCTTGTATATTTTAAATGATAAACACTTCACTAAACCACACACACCATCTTTAATATTAAATGAACAACAAAACCCATCATTATATCTTTCCCATTGAACCAAATTACATCACACAAATTGCAGGATACACCAGAAAACAAACCATTTGTGGTATATATGTGTGTGTGTGTGTGTGTGTGTTTATATGTTAGCAGGTTTTGTTAGATTTCGTTTTCAACTTCACCTTCTGTTAGGGCTGATGAAATGTAACTCACAAGTGAGTTCTCTTCGGGAGGCGTTGTTGTTGCTTGAAACCGCTGCTTGCAAGCATGACAAGTGATTAGAAGAATGGTGGATTTTATTTGCTTTACAGCTTGATCCTTTAAAGCTTGAGCCTTTGCTGTTTCAGCTTGTGCTTGTTGCCTGATTCTGTTTGCCCTGGCAAACTCATGCTCGGCTAATTCCATCTGCCTTTTCGCTTGCCGTCTCGCCTCTTCCGGAAAAGGCTTTTCCACCATCGCCAACCTTAACTGCATCGGTCTCGCATAGATTGGTTCCTTTTCGGTACCAGTGTCGGACGAGCCGATTGAGAGGTGTAACTGGATCGAATGATTGTCATGGCTTTTAGGACAAACGGAGACCTCAGTGGGATTTGATGTGCTTAAGAGTTGAAGGTCCAAGTTGTGGCATTGTGTATTGTTAGGGGAATTATCTTTTGTAGGGCTCAACAACAACATGGTGTCTGTCGTCTTTGCCAACTCCAAACTAGGCCGTGGAACTGTACTGAAATTAGTATCACTAGACGGATTGGTGCTTGAAGCTGTTCGCGACAAGCAAGGCGGACACTCTGCATGTGATTCTTGCTGAATACGGCTCATTTGGCAAGCATCTTGATGTTCAATGAAACTCTCAACCCTACAAAAATGAATAATAAATCAATGGCATATATATATATATATATATATATAGTTAAACTGCTATGATTGTACGTAGGGAAGAATATTCAAAGGAAAAGTGTTGATGGTAACAAGTGGGTTGCGTCCGGGTTGATAGTTCACACTTTAACTCGGACAGAGGGTTGTAGCAAATATAGGGATGACCGTCAGCCAGTCTTTGCATTGAGGAGAGGTGAGGACATTATGAAAAATCATGGTCGAAAGATATTTATATTGTGGCCTTATTTAGTGGTATCATGCATAAATTATCATGACAATTCAAAAGTTAATGAGTTATATAGATCTAGCTGTTAGATCTTAAATTTTATTTCACACTAATAAATCATATAAGTCTGGTAGAGATCTTATTTGTGTACTACTACACTGTAATTAACTCGAAACTATGATGTTCCTGGTTTTGAAGGATACGGGTTCTTCGGAGACTCCGACGAATGCATAAATCTATCCGAAAACCATGGTTAATGGAGATTTGACAGTTTTTGGAGGTGTCCTCTTAAGATATAACAAGAAGAGGACAGCAAGGGCACAAGATAGATCTAAAACACTGTTGATATGAATGGAGAGGTAACCAAAACCTTGAGAAAACTCTGTCGCAGTCACAAGAATGGCCTCTGGTGCCACAGATTTTAGGATGTGCCTTGTAATCCGACTGAACAGCATAGCCCTTGGAGCACCTCTCGCACACCCATTGCTTGTGATCGCCGTGTTTCCGCCTGAAGTGTTTCTTGATCCCCACCAAATCGCCAAGAGCATGGAAAGGGTTGTGGTGCAGGCAACTCAGCTCGGGGCAAACGAACACCCGCAGCTTCCTCGCCACGGGCGGCGTTTCTCTCTTGAGCAGCTTCCAAGGAACCTTGTGCCGCCGCCTGTGCATCTGCAGGTTTTGGTCCCTTTGGAACCCTGTGTTGCAGATTTCACAAACGTAACGATCCGATTCCAGTAGTGCCTTGGCCGACAGAGAAACCACTTCAGCATCTGGATCTTACATCATCACCCAAATTGCATATTCCGATTAGAAAACAATTTTAGATTTAAAAAAAAAACAGTGCATTTTGATATGTACCAGGCGTTCCTGCTGGTCTTCTTTTCCTCTTAGGAACTGGGGAACAAACATTATTGGCTAACATGGAGCAAAGCTGCTGGTCTGAGCGAGTAGACGATGAAAGAAAGAGAGATGTAATTAGATGAAGGAAAAGAAAAGAAAAGAAATTAAAAGCACATTTCTTTCTTTCTTTCTTTCTTTCTTTTGAAGGCTTTAAACATTCAGATTTTCTATCATCTTGTTCATCTCTTTATGAGATTTAAATCGAGGTCGCGGTCGTATTTTCGATTGCGTTGCGTTTATCATGGTCGCGGACGTAATAGATACTATCGCGATCATTGCGGGTATCGTGAACGTGAATTTTTTAATTTGCACAACTTATTACATAATATAATAAATTATAATTATAAAAAAACAATTTTAATAGTATTTAGAGTGTTTTCTAACACTTATGAACTTCTAAAAACTTTTATTAATACATGAGCATAATTTTTACAATCATTAATTATTCTTATATTTATTTATAAATTTCTTGAAAAAATTATACAATAAACATAAAATTAAAATTAGAATTTATAAATATAAAACAATTCATTACTTCTATTATCAATAATATAATACAAAATATAATAAAGATTTACTAACATTGAAGAAAAGTACGTTTGTTGCATAAATTAATAAATAATAAAAATAATTTAAGTGTATAAAATTTAAATTTAACATTCAATCTCTTAAAATAAATCATAACCATTTAAAAAAAATTAATCCATAAAATTATCTATTATTATTCACTTACAAAAAAAACATTAAAATTTAAAACTCACAAAACTAAAACAAACCCAACAAAAAAAACCATAATATGGTAACCCAAATCCTATTAATTTATTGAGATTTCTTTTGGTCCAAACCCAAACAATTAAAAGTAAAAAAATATTTAAAATCTAAAACATAAATAAATAAAAATTACTAAATACCCAAGCCTCTTCTTCTTCTGTGCATGTGAGAGAATGGAGGCAGAGATGCAACAAAAGCAGAGAAAATTGGACTCCCATGTTTATTTTTCGTTGTGTTTTCATCAAAAAGCTTCATTTCTTTTCTTGTAGATGTGTTGTTGAAAGCTTCCCTTGCACTTTCTTTGTTGAAAAATCATCAATTGGAACATCCTGTTCCATGTTTTCCTCTCTTTGTTGTCCAAAAAACATGTATGGGTCTGGTCAATTTCCTTCTTTTTTTCTTTCTTTCAAGCTCTACTTTTCCCTCTGAAAACCCAGAAAATGAGTTTTTGTAGTTGATTTGGTGTAACGGGAAATAACAGGAATACCGACCCGCTATCATCGTGATTGGTCGTTACCCGTTAAGTTACGGCCACAATCGACAGCTATCGGTGTGATTCCGCTTCACACTGATATTTCAGACAAAAGCAGTATCGGACGACGGCGCTACTGTGAAATAGCGACCGCTATCACGTTTGCGCTCTGCTATTTGAAACCGTGCTCTTTATATCCTCATCTCCATGGAAAATTGTTGAAAAGGAAGTAAAAGAGAGAGAGAGAGATGGGATGGGCCAAAATTGAGAAACATCCCACATAGAAACAAAGCTTCCATGGTTAAACTGATAATCACACAGTAATATCTTTCTTACTTTGCAATCGCATGCATTACGTTAGATATTATACTAAACCCATTGCAAATACTCAACCCATCACACCTTCCTAATTTTCTAACCCTTTCTCAGAAAAAATATATATTTTATGGTTTGAGTTCGTTATATATATACTCTACTAGATATTTTCTTTCTTTCTTTTAATGAGGACATTTTATTTGGTGAAACTTGCATTACTTCCTTATGCACCAACACAGCCACCTCGGGAGGTTGAAGATCTCTGGTTCTATAATTTTATCTGGATTCATTTTAATTAATAAATCAGCTTATACTTTTCCTTGATGCAACACATACTAAAATTATACTTTTCACTAACATTGAAAAAGATTTTGGATCAATCTGTTGGATCATAAACTTGATCCATTATGGGAGCCTAAACTCAAACTAAATTGATGTCATTGCTTACATCAATTTAGTTAGGTGAAGAGTTAGGTGAGAGTTAGGTATTTGTCTATTTTTTAATGGTTTAAATTAGTTTATTTGTGTGGTGTAAGATTGTTCTTAAGTAGTATAAATATCTCTCCCCATTTTAGTTTAAGTATTAAGAAAAATTAAGAGCTTCTAAGTGAGTGAAGAAGCAAAGTCTTATAAGAGTGAGTTGTAGTATCATGTTTTTGAGTGAGAGTGCTCTTGTAATAATTGTTCGAGTTTCAATAAAATTTGTTTGTGTAAGTGTTTCATTTCCAAAAAAGTGGCATCAAAGCGAGTTGGAAAGATCGAAGGTCTCAACGAGAGGAATCCACCGCCGCCAAAATCTTCCCAATCCGAGTTCTGACGCGCCGCCATGTACTGTCGGAAGACTGCTGCCAGAAAATCGAGTTGACTTACCGAGTTGAGCCGAGTCAGTCGAGTTGGAGCCGCTTGACCAAGTTTTCCAAGTCCCTCCCAATGTTTTTCGACGTTCCGAATTCATCCATGCAATCATATTTTGCAAATTCTCATTATATTGAGAGATATGACAAATGGTATGGCACTATTCCATGTTCCTACACTCGACAACAACAACTACGATAATTGGAGTATAAAAATGACAGCACTTCTTGGATCACAAGATGTGTGGGATATCATAGAGAAAGACTATAACGAGCATGCAGATGATGTTGTTTTTGCTACTCTTACACCAAATCAAAAGATAATTTTGAAGGATTCAAGAAAGAGAGACAAGAAGGCTATCAACCTCATCAAGCATTAGATGATGATGATTTTGAAAAAGATTTCGAGTGCAAGCTCTAGCAAGGAAGCGTGGGAGAAGCGTGGAAGAGATATTTTGATCGTGTGTCTCTATGTAGACGATTTGATCTTAAGCAGAAGTAACCCAAGCATGTTTAATGAATTCAAGGATGTGATGATGAAAGAATTCGAGATGACAGACATGAGGCTCATGACGTACTACCTAGGCATTGAAGTTAAGCAACAAAAGGATGTAATTTTCATTTCACAGGAAAACTATGCAAAGGAGATCCTGAAGAAGTTCAAGATGGAGAACTGTAAGCCAATAAGCACACAGACAGAATACGGGATCAAGATGTCCAAACATGAAGAAGGCGAAAGTGTAGATCCAACATTCTTCAAAAGTTTGGTGGGATGTCTACGCTATCTAACTTGCACGAGGCCCGATATTCTTCACTCAGTTAGATTGGTTAGTCGCTACATGAAAGCTCTAACAACTACCCATTTTAAAGCCGCAAAGAGAATTCTTCGCTATCTGAAAGGTTACAATTGACTTTGGCTTGTTCTATTCAGTTTCTAATGATTACAAGCTTGTTGGATATTAGCGACAGTGATTGGGATGGAGACATAGATAATCGAGGGAGCACTACTGGATTCGTATTTTTCATGGGAGATACTGCTTTCACATGGATGTCAAAGAAACAATCGATTGTCACATTATCCACTTGTGAAGCAGAATATGTTGTTGCTACCTCATGCGTTTGTCATGCAATTTGACTTAGAAATCTATTGAAGTAGATAGGTTTGATACAAGAAGAGCATACCAAGGTTTGTGTCAACAACAAGTCAGCCATTGCCTTAGCAAAAAATCCAGTATTCCATGATCGAAGCAAGCACATCGATATTCGCTACCACTATATAAGGGAGTGTGTTGCAAGAAACGATGTGGAAGTTGAATACGGGAAGTCACAAGATCAAGTTGCTGATATTTTACCAAGCCACTGACAAGCGAAAACTTTGTAAGATTAAGGAGCTTACTAGGGGTCACAATATCAAGTTTAAGGGGGTGTTGGATCATAAACTTGATCCATTATGGGAGCCTAAACCCAAACCCAAACTAAATTGATGTCATTGCTTACATCAATTTAGTTAGGTGAAGAGTTAGGTATTTGTCTATTTTTAATGGTTTAAATTACTTTATTTGTGTGGTGTAGGATTGTTCTTAAGTGGTATAAATACCCCTCCCCATTTTAGTTTAAGCATCAAGAAAAATTAAGAGCTTCTAAGTGAGTGAAGAAGCAAAGTCTTATCAGAGTGAGTTGTAGTATCTTGGTTTTTAGTGAGAGTGTTCTTGTAATAATTGTTTAAGTTTCAATAAAATTTGTTTGTGTGAGTGTTTCATTTCCAACACAATCTTATTAGCGACAACTCTAAGAAGTATTAACTGTTTGCTTAAAAACTTTCACAACCTCCATATTATTTTTGATTCAACGAATACCTACTTGATTCTCATGCTCCAAGATAACTGCAAAATCTCGAATACAGCCCAAAACCTTAGAGATTTTCCTATAACATATGTTATTATGAATTAGTATATAAACAACATATTTACCCTTCTTTTATATATGTGTATATCTATAAAAATACGAGATTAAAAAAACTTGGAGGGACTAAACTAAATATTTATCATTTTAAGGACTATGACGTTTGTCATCCCCTCGCTCCGCCTATGATATTATCTTCTCCATGGAACAGTGACAAAAAAAATGATAAAGAAATAGTTAATATTTAAGAAGATAAATCTGATAATTTTTTAACAGTTTAAAAATATATAGAGTAGGTTTAGATATTACAGGGTAATTATACTTTTTTTTCTATACATGTCCTAATTTCTTAACAATTAGAAAACTACACTTGTGTATTTAGATAACATGGAGTAATTATAAAAAAAATGTAATTATTAGGGTAGTAATTGTACTCTCTTGTAAGTGTTTGAACACCATAATTGGATCTCAATATTACAGACAGCAGTGAGATGTATGGTCTGTTGTATCGCACTAATATTACCAGCTACTTCAACCAAAAGGTAATGCATTTACACTACAACTTCTCTTCTGTTTTTCAAGGTTCATTTTCATGGCTCCACTGCCCTCTCTTCTCCTATCTCTAGTGGCCATTTTCTGCCCATATCTCTCCAATATATCACCCAAATCAAATAATCCCACTTCCCTTAGTTTCTTGCTCACCTCTTCAAACATCATTACGCCTTCCTCATTCGAGTAATAGTGTAAAAATTTGTTGTAATCG